TTTAGACTAAGAGCATACACACATTCAGCATACATCCCTGAAACAGGAGAGTCCACCTATGAAAGTGTCTTTGGGTTTTCTTTTGACATGAAGATGCTAAAATAGACCAAGATAATAACAATATTATGATATCGTTATTAACACTTTTCAACAAACATGAAGCACAGTGTCAGTATGAATCAGAACAAAAATTTCAAAGAAGTGGGGAAAAAACAAATTCACTTGGTGAAACTATGAGCTGAATTCTGCTCTAAAAGAACTGGGGAGAGATTTCAACTGTTGCATATTTCTGTTTGGAGTAGCTTCAGGGCAGACATCTCTGACCCACACGCACCTGTTCCGTATGTGAGGCTGAACAGAGCTGTAGGAAACAAGTCCTGTTCTCAGGCTAACCTAAACAATATAAAATTCAAAAAAGGAAAGCTTTTTAACCTAAACTGTAGTTATATTTGTGTAAATCAGACTCTTAATAAAGGTCTTTAGAGAGTATTTTCAAGCCTGGTCTCAACACACAGTATTAAATACTCTGATTTGTTTTAAACATGTATTTTTCTACATTAACCACACACTTTTTCCTTGAGATTAAATGAGTTGTCTAATTTCTTTATGTATTCCAGCTCAGGGCCATTAAACAAAAACCACAGAGCCACTGGTCTCCCAGGACTGCTCTCAGACTCCAATTCCCTAAAGTCTGCCTCCTGCAGGAGATATATGGTATAAAGACGAGTGAAGTAGCTCAGATTGGGAAACAAAGCTTCATGCTCTTCCTGCAGCAACACCCTGCACTTACTGAGAGGTAATGTCGCATATACTATCATCCGCAGCTGTGTTTAAAATACAGAACAGAATGAGAGTAGCAGGAACCTTGTGCTCATTCCAAACAGAAAAACTGGTTTAATTGTAAATCGATACTGTAATTGTATATCTCAATAATTATTTATTATTTTTAATTTCTTTTTGTGTGTCTTAGTTACGTGCTATAATACTAGGCTGTCTTTTCTTGGTTACATCTGTATTTTTTTTTTAATATTTAGCTTGCTCTCCTAAAGGTATGGGTTCCTGTTTGAATCTTATTTAGTCGCCAGTTTTAAGATAAGATAAGATCGCTTTATTGGCCATATACAATTTCTTGCATTAGGAATTTGTCTTTTCGCATACCCCAGCTTGCTCTCTTTTGGCAAAGAGCGTGTGTGGTTATAGACTCCACTCCTAGGAGGAAGCAGAAGTGCCTGTTCACAGCGCAGCAGGAGAAAAGCACTAAATTCCTCTCTTTATCGCTTCAGGTCTGAGCCTTTTGTAACGTGTTTGCAGTGTCTACTGGCAATCCTACACCATATCCTTCAGATGCCTACTTCTTAATTTGTGGTAAATACATAGAACAATTTTATTTTATTTTAAATTAAGATTAAAAAGTTTCTATGACGTTTCTTAAAAGTTTGTAAAGTTTGTGTTTTGAAAGTTTGAAACAGCCCTAACAGATGGAGAACCTATCTAGTGTGGCCATATTTTATCTCAGTGGATTAAATGAGACAAGATCGTATAAATATATGAGTTTTGCCTTTACTCTTCTTTTTTACCTGATGATCTTATTTTTGAATCTGACTCTGATTGCGGCAGTCCTTCTGGAGAAATCCCTCCATGAGCCCATGTACATCTTCGTCTGTAACTTGAGTGTCAATATACTGTACGGAACTACTGGATTGTATCCTAAACTCCTGGCTGACTTTCTCTCTGACTCTCATGTCATCTCATACACTGGATGTTTGATTCAAGCCTTTGTGATCTACTCTTATCTTCCATGTAAATACACCAGTTTGACAGTGATGGCCTACGACAGGTATGTGGCGATATGCAAACCCTTAGAGTATCATTCTATCATGAATATTATGATTACTGGAAAATTTATTTTGATTTCCTGGCTTTTTCCTTTGAGTGAGTTAATGATTGCCATTTTGTTAACTGCTAGACTGCCTTTATGTGGGTCTCACATTGACAAACTCTACTGTGAAAACTGGGCCATTGTAAAGCTCTCCTGTGTGGATATTACCATAAATAGTATCTATGGATATATTCCACTAGTTATTCATAATGCACAAGCCTTTTTTATTGTGTGTTCTTACATCCTGATAATCAGAGTGTGTTTAAACTCTAGAGAAGGAAGGACTAAGTTTATGCAGACCTGTGTGCCACATTTGATCTCATTAATCACCTTCACCATCTCCACTTTTTTTGATGTAATGTATTCTCGATATGGCTCTAATAACATACCCCAGATTTTGCGCAATATCTTGTCTGTAGAATTTCTTGCTGTTTCTCCTTTTTTAACTCCACTCATATATGGTTTAAATCTCACTCAGATTCGCATAAGTGTTAAGAGACTGTTTAAGAAAAAGATGCTTTCCTAGACATAGTTCTAAGCTAAGCATGTGAAGGTTACAAAAACTGACAACAGATAATTCCTTTCCTTAGGCCTTTTGTGATATAGTTCATATGTACCTAGAAAACTCCCTCTCTGTGTGTAAGGCTATGTTTTCTTACACGGTGTAATCTGGATGCATATCCAAAGACATAACTGTACCACATGATCAA